AGTTTCCAATAACACTTAAAGAGAAATACTGTAGCTTTGTCACGAGTGGCCCTTAATTGCCTCTTGTATTACTTTCTCAACAAATGTTCACTTGCATGTTAATTTAGTTTTTGGAAGATTGTAGACTTTCCTTATGATTGTTGGGCACATTTCAAGTTGATCTTCAAATTCAAAATCTAATTCTCCCATGAAACCACATGAAGATTTTATACAATGCTACTATATTTGAAGAGGAGAACAGTAAAAGACTATATCACAAGAACTACAATGGACCATTAAGACCAGCCCAAGACATTTCACTAGTTGAGGCTATGGACTAAATGCCCCACCTCACCTCAGAAGCTATGTGAATTGCGAGTTGAACAGTCACATTGGAACAGAACCTCCACCACACCTCAAGGCAGAAGAATAGTTTGTGAGAACAGGACAACCTGTACGACACACTAGGATTGGCCCTGCCATTAGACAAAGTGAGGCAACTCATGCAGCAGATTTGGGTTGCTTTCAAAGGTCAATGAATTGCTAGATGCTTTATTTATTATGACTGCAATTGCACTGCTTGAGGGGAAGGACAGAAGGAGCTTGTGCAGTTTTCTGCTTCATGTGATAAAATTATTTATTTATTGCATTTATATGCCGCCCATCTAGACATAGTCTACTCTGGGCGGCTCACAACATACAAGATAAACACAATTTGAAATATACACAGTTTTACATAGATAAAAACAGAACGATATAAAATATAAAATCATAGAATTACAATTTTAACAATTAATTTGAAGCAAACAGTCCCAAGATGGCATGAGTCAAAAGAAAAAGAAATAAGAATCACTTAATTGACTGGAGGGAAGGCCTGCTTGAATAACCAAGTTTTCAGCTGGCTTTTGAAAACACCCAGCGACGGTGCCATTCGAATTTCAGTAGAGAGGGTGTTCCACAGTCAAGGGACCACCGCCGAGAAGGCCCGGTTTCTTGTTTTTTCCTTCCGGGCCTCCCTCGGTGTCAGACCCCTCAGCCGTCCCTGCTGGCTATGTCGGGTGATTCGGGTAGATAAATTACTCAGTCGGTCTTAAATGCTGCGTACAAGGTAGGGTGCGTGCAAGGGACCGTTTTTGCTTCACCTCACACAACAAAATATCTTCAGCCAACTCTTTGGTGTACCATTAGGGTTCTTATGGAGGGGTGGAATTCTCACTCTCAGAATTCTCCAGGAATTCCCCGGGGAGAATTCTGGGAGTTCTGGCCCACCAATACATATCTGCAGGCAGCTTTCTTTCACTCATCTGGAACAAGGCTCAGACATCTTTTTAAGCCTTCATTCCTGCAGTGCTTTCTAGTTGTTGTATAGAGGGCACCTCCTGAAGAAACACCATCTCCAGGATGCATTGCAGCAGGGAATCAATGGCTAGAAGGTGTCTGCAAAGAATTCTGCTTGGGCGATCCCTGGAGAATTCTGGGAGTCCCACCCAGACACATAAACCACCACCACCACCCCCAAAAAAAAAACTAATGGTACATTTTTTTACTACTCACAGCTCCATCTTCCAATGGACAGGAGTGGTCAGGAGACTTAAATGGAGTAGCTGAAGGATTGTCCCAGCTACCTTCCAGAATCTGCTCCTAGAGGTAATTGCCTCTTTTTGTCCAACAGTAGGGGCAGCCCAGCAGGTTAAAGTTTCAAAGATATTGCTTTCTTTTCTTTTCCCCTCTTGTCTTTAAAAGGCTGCTGACATTAAAACGAACATATTCAACTATGTTTCTGTTATCTGGTCATTGTTGAAGGCATGTGAGGAAGGAGAGGATGAGAAAATGGCAAATTTATTAGTGATTCCACATAGTCCTTCACTTCATCCTGTTTTAACTCTCCACCCTAGAGGCGTTCAAAGCATACCATAAGCCTGTACAGTCCTGCTCCTGGTTTCTTCTAGCCCTAAAGCCAAAACAGAAGAGTCCACAGTGCCAACAGAATTTTTTTTAAAATCCTCAATTTATACCTGTAAAGAATTTATTTTGGATTTCCTCTAGTCTTTGACTGAAAAAAAAGTTTGATTCAAAAGGGAAGCCACAGTCTTTAATTTGAAAGACCTGAGCAGGGATGTTAAAAGACAAAACCTTTTGGAAGTCATTAATTCATAAGGTTACCATAACCCAGAAGCAACTTGACAACACATAGCAATAATAAAAGTCTGTAGCAAGTTCACTAAGGCAGAGTTGAAAAATATCAGCCTTTTACAAACTGAAGTGTAGCACTTTGGCTACAGCGAAAATACAAGACAACTGCACTCACCACATACACACCTTCCTGCAGCATAAAAGGCAAATTACAGAGAGGCATTTGAATAGAGGTCCTATATTCGGGGGTTGTAGGCTTACCCATTGTAAATACACTTACAATTGTTTTTAAAATTGGGAAACCCTGGGGTGCCTTTGGGATGGTGCATAAATGTCCATAGCAGACCACACATGGCCCACCTCTTTATAGGGCTCTGCAATCTGTATACTGTATATTGGGTGGGCAACCATGTCTCTCCATTTGCTTTTCACCTAAAACACTCATCAGCCTCAGGAACACTGGCAGTAGTGAAGGACTGTGGGAGGTACAATTCAGAAACATCTGGAGGACTACTTCCATGGTATTTATGGATGGTTTACAACACAAATACACTTGACAGTCACACTTGCAAACGGAGCACAGCTTCAGTTTGAACTATACAAGGTGCAGCATTGGGGAAGAATTACCTGGGGTCTGGAGAGCTAATGCTCACATTAGAGATAATACTGAATTAGATAGAGCAATTGTTTAAGCATCTGGCTGTAGAGTCAGGGGTTGGGAGTTCGATTCCTCACTGCGCATCTCTGACAGGGACCGGAGTCAATGATCTATAGGGTTCCTTCCACCTCTGCAGGTTTTTATTACTATTACTATTATTGCACCAGAGAGAGACCACAGCTGCAATACAAGGATATCTGCAAGCGGGATCTGAAGGTCTTAGGAATGGACCTCAACAGATGGAAAACCTTGACATCTGAGAGTTCAGCCTGGAGGCAGGCGGTGCATCATGGCCTCTCCCATTTTGAAGAGATACTTGTCCAGCAGGCCAAGGCAAAGAGGCAGTCTCGAAACCAGCAAAACCAGGGAGCTGGATAGGGGACAGATTGTATTTGTCTTCAGTGTGGAAAGGATTGTCACTCTCGAATTGGCCTTCTTAGCCACACTAGACACTGTTCCCAGACCTCTATTCAGAGCACGTTACCATAGTCTCGAGACTGAAGGATGCCTACTCAACAACAACAACAACAACAACAACAAGACACCAGGCACAGACAATTACAATTATAAAACACTGACTGGTATTATAACAGATACAAGTTCTAACCAAAAACCGAAGCATCTGTTAAATATCAGCGCAGGATATATGCTGTTCCTAATATTGCCTTTTTTGTTGCTCTGATGGTGTGTTTTCTGAGATCTGCAACTACTTACAATATTGTAGGTTCTAGGGCAAGGATAGCAACTTGCACCCCCAGGGCTCCATGAGGCTTCAGTTACACCACATCTTGACTACTGCAATGTCCTCTATGAGGTGCGAACCTTGAACAGCATCTAGAATCTTCAGTTGGTGCAATATGAAGCAGCTAAGTTGCAAGCTGATGCATAATGTCACAGTCACATGATCTCAGAGAAGAGCTGTCCGAACCTTTACTAGCACCATCATGGGTTACGAAGACTGTGGCAGAAGAGAGAACAGCAGCATCCAGAAGAGAAAAGAGTGGCATCCACAGTACAGACACATGCTCAGTTTTGATGCTCATTCCACCCATCCCTGAGAGCCAGCATGTTGTAGTAAAAAGAAGCCCTGGACGAGAACTCAGAAGATCCACGTTTAAATTTCCAGTCAGTCGTGGAAACCCTTTGAGGAACGCTAATGGTAAACCATTCCTTGAACGCCTCACACATCAACTTTCCCTATTAGGGACCTCGGCAGTCAGAACTTGGGTGCACATAACAAAAGTAACTACTCATCTCTAGCTTAGGATCCACCCATGCTCAGCATGCATATTCCAACAACTTACACACACAGAGTCATCCCCTGAAGAATAAAGGTCTGCACCCCACTATGCTACTCCACTACTCTAACCACTCAGATCATCCCACTCTTAGGTCTTATCTGGGTTCAAATCACTGCTCAGCCAGGGAAACTCACTGGCTGTGTGTCACTGGCAAAACCACTGCTTAAATACCTTGCACAGCTTGAATATCCATACAGTATAGAGTTGCCCTAAGTCAGAAGTGACTTGAGGGCACATAACCGACATAACAACACTACAATATCCAGCTAGCAGCACAGTAATATGTCAAACGTTTGTGCTCCATTTTTTACTGTTCCAGCACTTTTCTCATTCATTTTGAAGTAAACCAAATTCATTTTGAAGTAAACAAGGAAAGCAAATTCATTTTTTTAAAAAAAGAGTAAAAACAAGCTGAGATTGTAAACTGCAGCAATACCTCAATCTAATAATTAGATTCTAATTCATATGTTCGTTCTCCAGGGGAACACAGTTTTAATTCTCTAACATCCCAATCATTACTACGTGGTAGGGAGGGATTTTGTTTTTTTAGTTTCACATTTATTTAAGAAGGAGCCGGGCCCTTTCTTCCTCCCCAATACAGGACTTCTTCCACGTGTTTCTACTAAGAAACAGGTCTAAAAAGACAGACAATTTAATCTTCTGCAGCAACAAACCACAAAGACTCCTCGATATAAGCTTTTGTGTACTGCACCCCATCTCATCGGATATGTATGCTGAATAAAAGTAATTAGTCGTTAACGTTACTAGAAAACTTTTAAAATAAGAAATAGGACATTTAACTCCCACGTCCTTTAAAACATAGTTACCGTTATATCTCACTGCAAGGACAAAATACAAACAAGCTCCCAGTCAGAAGTTCTTCTTTTGCACCACTCATCAATTCCTAAAAACAGCCCAAACTTGCTTACCTTCAAACCTACACCACGTTTTGCCCCATAAGTTCCTTGTTCGCTGCTTCTTAAATAGGAACTGCATGATTTCAGGCTCCGAAGGAGTGACGAAGCAAATGGGTTGGGTTTTTTCAGGATTTCTTTGTTCGTAAACTTTACTCTGAGGAAGGACAGGTATTTCGAAATTCACCCCGACTTCAAGCTATGGGCAAGGAAATGTAGAAACTACTACTGCCGGCATGCTTTGTGGATTATTAGGACGATTCTTTTTTCCCTCCTTTGCACAATGCATTGTGGGAATTGTAGTGCTACTATTTCCACACTGTGCCTTGGAAATTGCGGAGGAGACTCTGAGGGGAATAAAGTGAGGGGTGTTACAGTTGTCATACACATAATGTTGCAGATTCAAAGGGAGATAATAATTCATCTATGCACTGATTATTTATTTATTTATTTATTTATTTATTTATTTATTTATTTATTTATTTATTTATTTATTTATTTCCCTACCACATTTCTCCCAATTACAGAATCCAAGACAAACCAGCTGAAACACAATACATTGTTTCATTAAAATGGATTAAAGATATATAAATATATATATATATATTAACACAGTTGAAATTGTTAAAACACCTTAAAAGAAAATTAAAGCATACATTAAAATTGTTAAAACACCTTAAAAGAAAATTAAAGCATACATTAAAACATACAGCACCCTCATCAACTGGAATTTTATACACATCTCCCCAATGTTCAAGCTGGATTATGAAAAGGCAGAGGCACTTCAGATCACATTGCAAATATCCACTGGCTACTAAGAGCACCAATGCATTTCAGAACTGTCTATATCAGTGCTCCCCAACCCTGGGCCTCCAGATGCTCTTGGACTTCAACTCCCAGAAATCCTGGCCAGCAGAGGTGATGGTGAAGGCTTCTGGGAGTTGTAGTCCAAGAACATCTGGAGGCCCAAGGTTGGAGACCACTGGTCTATATAGCTATAGCAAAGCCTTTGACTGTTAGATCAGGAGAAACAATCAGTTGTTTGTAAAAAAAATAAAAAATAAAGGGTGCACCTCAACACTTTATTGTCCAGATAAATAACTTGTACTGCAGGCAAGAAGCTAGCATTAGGACAGAATATGGAGAGACGAAATGGTTTTCTGTTGGCAAAGGTGTCAAGACAAGGCTGTGTTTTACCCTTTATCTGTTCCTTCTCTACACAGAACATACCAGAAGGAAAGCTGGGCTAGATTCAGATGAAACAGGAATGAAAATCGGTGGAAGAGACATCAGTAATTTAAAATATACAAATGACACAATCAAGTTTAAAAACTTGATTTGTTTGGCATTCATTTTTAATGAAATGCAAAACAAAACATGTCTTCTACACCTGCCATGCATTTTTTGTAGCAATGAATGTAAATGAGCCGTGTCATTTGAAGAAGAACTGTGAAACCTCCTATGCCACCAATACTTAATAAGAAAGTTTCCACCTAATGAGAATCTATTCTGAATATATGTGATTAATCACATTAACATAGCTATTTTGGGTCAATTTAGGAATAACTAGATTTCATCTTTTTATTCTGTAGTACTAAAGGTAAAAGTCACTCCTACATTTAAAATATCTGATCCCTATGTTGCTCTTAGGTAGAGTGACTACATGGCCTCTGTTCATAGGCCTGCCAGAGGCCACATTTCTTTTTGAGGTTGTCCATTCCGGTTTTAAGGATAAAGAACCATAAAGAGGGAGGAAACGGGACACTGCCCGTCCATAACAAGCATCTCCACAGCACAGTCAGCATGTGCCCAGGCCTCAAAGTCACAGGGTTCGCCAGCTGGATGTAATGTACTCTAAATGCTAAAAATAATTTTTAATTTTGGCTCTCTGCATAGAAATCAGCCTAGGCAATTTTATACCAATCTCGGCCATCTTTTTTTTTTCTAGCAGCAATTTAGTTATTAAAAGCCTCCCTAGAAAGGAAGGTCTTTGTCTGCTGGCAAAAGGACAGTAGGGAGGCAGCCAGTCCGAACTCCTGTGGAAGGAAGTTGCACACCCTGGGTGCAGCCACCAAGGAGTGTTCCCTTGTGTCCATCTCAAAGGTACCTAACGGGTGATTTGACCAAGAGAAAAGCCTCCTTCGAAGGTCTTAAAACCCAAGGAGACTCACGGGGGAAACAGTGTTGCTCAGGCAGCCTGGACCCAGGTCATATAGGACTTTATAAGTCAAAACCAACACTCTGAATTTGAACTAGTTAGTAGCCTGTAAAGCTGTTGTAACAATAAATTCCTATTCTGAATCACACACCGGTATTGTACAGTCGGTGAACTGGATAGCTAAAAGAGCCACTTTCTAGACTGATATTCTCAAATTCTGCATACACAGCAATGAGAAACACTTCTATACCTGATACTCATCTCAGACTATATATGATCAGTGCACCAGTTTCAGTGGAGCCCACAGCAGCCATCACTAGAGTCAAATCGAACATTAAGGGGAATGTGTCTTCCATATTATCAACCAGGCCACCAAGGGATTTTCTCAGACATACAGGCTTAATAATCAAACATTACCTTGAAGTTTAGTGTCTCAGCAGACTTGCAAATTAAGCCCTGTTTGTCTCCAATCACCAATCACAAAAGAAAGAACATTATTGTATATGCAAGATACATACTGAAGGAAACTAATGGGCTATAACAACTAGAGGTTTTTCCCCACTTGAAAAAGCACCCCTGCAAAAAAGGGGTTGGACATATATTTTGGTTTGGCAATATTATCCTAAAGAATAAGCTTCCCCAGCTCTGCATACATGATATATCCCACTCCCCTAGTAGCAAAAGCCCAGTTAATGCATTTTAAAGGTGTGGAGAAAACACACACACAAGGAGCATATACCAACACTCTCTCTGTTACTACTTTTGGCTGTTTTCCCCAGCAGTTTTCCAGTTCTGAACATAAAGTTATCTATCAGACTCAAAGTGTTACGTGGAAAGTTGCCATCTACAATGATGATGGAGGGAGAGGTATAGGGATAATCTACTCTCTTTTCAAACATTTATTATATGTATAGTCTTATGGCAGTGGTTAGTGGGTATTAACCCGCCTCCTGAAGAGTGGCCACATGACTCAATTTACAAAAACCAGTCCTCTGTTTCAGGGACTGTCAGTGTTTTTGTTACGCACCCAGGTTGATTGTTCACAGACTTCCTCATCATGGTGAAATGTTATCTCTTTCCTGTTAGCCTACAGGAACTATTTCTGAATGAGAATCTGTACAAATTACTTGATATGTGCAAATGTTTCCCATTGTCCTCTTTCTGGGTGATGGGTCTCCTCTCTTCTAGTGACGCCTAAGCAGGGACCCTATCCAACTGCCACGGTGACTACCAAAAGGAATAGGTGGGGGATGTGAGAGGGTCCTGGATCAGCAATAACCAAGTTCACATCAGTGATGTCCCTGCTTGGGAAATTTACTTGCTGGGCTACACTTCCCAGAATTCCCTATAGATCCTATGAACTATAGACCAAATAAAGTAACCTACGTACACTTTGCTCCAATTTCTACATGCCTCCTCAATTGACGAAGACGGTCCTTCCCTCTACCCAATGGTTGAGTTGATTACAGTGTGAAGGCTGAAAGTGATTTATGACTGAAATTGTTCATGCTAGAATCAATAAATGATGAATATCACATCTGAACTGGAGTGGTCTCTTAATAGTGGGGAGGACGATGTGTCGTGCAATTTTACTTATCTTTTTTGTTGCTCCATATTTCTTTCAATCTGTTTAATCCTCTATGCTTGTTTAAACCAGCTTTCGTTGTGGAATTATGACCATGCATGCTGACTGTGGGTGATGGGAGCTATATCAAAACAGCTTTCAATTTGGGAGAGTCTGCCGTAGGCAACAATTTAAGAGTTATAAATTTTTATAACCTTTGGTAGTAATTCTTTCATAAAGATAAATAAATACACTAATTCTTGTTTCCTGTTCTATAATATGCATCAAATTTCTTTGTTGTCTTACTGCTGGATTAAGCATAATCACATTTCCAATGGAGTGAAAAGTAGGGCCCCTATTTAAAAATTAAGATAATTTTTAAAAGCAGCTGTTTTGTCTTTCATCCATTCTGACCTTAGCCATTTCTAGTTAAGGTCTTACTCTGTGTTATGGCCACAAGGTGAATGGGAGCTTTTCAAATGGAAACATGCACCATTGTCTCTCATTTGCTTAACAATAGTCAATACCTCTGGGGACAAAACATAGCTAACCAGCCTTGCATGGAGATTTGACTGCTGCTGGGTATGTTTTTTTAATGCCTTTTTATTTGGAAAATCAGAAATCTTATTGGTTACAGGGGGGGAAAGGAGAAAGGAAAACTTATGCATCAGATCCATTAAATAAACAGCAGGAAAAGTCTACGAAATAATGTGTATGTAGTTTTATGAGATTTTTGTCATACAGCAGAGAAAAGCTTGCAACCCACTCCACATTCGGCAAATCCTGTTGACATAGTTGTTTCCCCCATCTGCTGAGTAGACAAGAAGTGATGACATAGTTTATAGGCTTTTTATGCAGGCATCACAGAAAGCGAACGTTTCCCCGCAGACGGAGTACAATATTTTAAAAATTGAACTGAGACAACATCTGCATGCAAAGGCCCCCAGATTCCTTGACCCACGAGTGTGTGAAAGAGAAATTCTTTGTTTCAATTTGTGTTATATCCCCCTTTAAATATTTATTTTTTCAACTGTAAATTATGTTGCGACCTAATGTTTTAGCTGGGGCAACCTGTCCAGATACTTATCTATTATGTGGCAACTTATCAAAACTCACTTGATGGAAGGGGAAAATGTATTTTTGCATAAACAACACACGGTGGTGAGTTTAAAAAGAATATGTATTTATTACATTTACCCTTGTGACTGCTGACTGAACAGCTTTTCTGTTATTGCCAAATGGAACCTCTGCACAGATCTGTAGAGAATTTGAAACCTAAGGAAAATAAATTAAGCCACAAGGAAAGTAGTTTGTACCTGTACTGGAAAACATGAAAGGGTTAGAAACATTTTTTTTTAAAAAAAAGGAAAGATAGATCTTATTTATCTTTCTTCTGAATACAGTATTTTCAGATGTTTTGTAGAAAAATATTGGTTGGATGTCTTTAAATGCCAAGACACAACGTCTGGAAAGAGGAGAGGA